GGCCGACATGGAGTGTGGACGATGGGGGAGTGGGATGGAGTCATTTTTGGGGGCAGAATTTCGGTCTGTGGGGTCCCTCCGTGTCCACAATCGACGAAGGGAGACTAGACGAAGGGCGGTGGTGCAGCGGATGCACGGCCGCCTTGCCCGCGACCCTTCGCCTTTCGTCTCGCCCGCCGCGATAACCCTGCGCTTTTCGTATCATTTGGTGGAGCATGGAAATGACCTTCAGCTGGCCTTCGCGCTGCTGCTTCGTTGCAGTCCACCCCGCGTGACACGTGTTTATAAGGACGTGGGCGTTCTTCACAAATGCACGAGAGCACTCTCTCTGTATACCTCACGCAGTCCCCGCCGCCCGCCACGCTTGTTCCGCCGCGGTCGCAGTCGTCTTCGCCACGTGAGTCGCCTTCGTAGCCTTCATCAGCGCCTTCGTCACCATCGTCGCCATCGTGGCTTTTTGTTGAACATCGTCACCGTCAGCGCCATCGTCAGCGCCATCGTCACCACGTCCGTCCCCAACGTAGCTATCTTCAGTGCTTGCGTCGTCTTTGTAGTCGTCTTCGGCGACATCCTCGTCAGCGAGCACATCATTTCGCCCGTCGTCTTCACCGCCATCGTCGCATTTCCGAAGATTGTCGCCTTCGTCGTTGGGATTGTCATCGTCACCGCGGACGTCGTCGAATACGTCGCCAAGACTGCCATCGCAGTTGGCAGTTGGCTTCGATAGCGCAGGGCACGTCATCGAAGCGAAGCGGGCGAACAAGGTTGTCGTGGGTGTGTCTTGCGCCATGTCGTCCCGCGGTTCTGGACGCGGCAAGGCCGCCGTCAACCTCGCACAACAACCGCCGACCCGGGAGAAGAAGGGCCGCCACATGGCCAGCAAGAAGAGGAAGATCCTCCAAGGCGCCCCGACACATGGAGGTTACGTGGTGGATGAAGAGTGGGTGCCGGAGGACGTGGCGACGCAGGAGGGGACAAAGTTCGAAAACTCTGATGACATGCCGTTGCAGAGGAAGTCGTCCAGGTGGGGGAGTGGCGGCCTCCGCATAGACGACGCTGGCGACAGACGACTCGCAGGAGGGCGGGCAGTACCGGAAGACGTCCTCGACGTCGACGCCACGATGGCAGCCAGAAAGGGCGGGGGAAATCGCGCGCCATTGCCACGTATGACTCCAGCCACTGACGCGCAAGAGGGCGCGGTTCGCTCACGGACACCGCTCACACCACGCTCGAGGACGGCTGCAGACGTGGCCGTCTCGGGGGGGGCATCACAGGCGGCAGGAGGGGTGAGGGCAGGCGGAGCAGCGGGGGGGGGGG